TTATATAGGATGCTGTTAAGGGGAAGGAAAGGCTGTGAAATAGCTGGGAGAGTGCTTCTAGGTAGAAGCTCACAATATCAGAATCGTGTTAGAATACTAGAGTCACAGCTGATAGAATTGCAGGTGGTGATAGGCAGTGATAGCAGAAAGCTCACATTGCTGTCTCCCAGCTGCAGTCATTTAGGGGAACCAGTTTCTGAAATAGAAATCTGAGGTACTAATCTAGTACCATCAAAGCTGGTGCTACCATCAAGGTCTTTGTATGAATGGGTTGGTATAGAGGCCCTTTTCATGCTAGTGAACAAGTATAGGCTGCTTAAAATCTCTCCCCCAACTTCTGCACCCTACAATCTTTCCTCCTTACTGTTTGCAGCCCCTATTCCAGTTTAGGAAAAGCTGTGGCTTAGATCTGCCAGTGGTGAGGACTTGGCATGGCAGTGCCTTACTAAGCTATTTACAGAATGGCATCTGGAGAGCTTTGAACCCTGACTGCTGGAGACTGGGGCGTGTGGGACATATTCCAGACACACAATACTTTCCACAGGTAGCCAGGCATGAAATTTTGGATGATGCTAAGAAAACAGGCCATGATCTTCACTGGGATGGGGGGGAAGGGGGGAGTTGTAATCGCACCCATGAGATATATATAAGCACCCCCCCAACCATGATGTATATAAACACGCCCGTGGGTCCCCCGCCCCTCCCCGAGCTGCAACCCCTCACACCTCAGAGATGTGAGACTGGAGCATGAAAACTCTGAGCCTGTGCTAAGCCTGAGGCAAGCTTATGTGTCAGAACATTTCCTGTAATTTAGCATTATATTTTATGCAAGGGGGGGAAAAAAAACACCCAGAAGTTGAAAGGAATGTTTCTGTGTTAATATTTTTACTAATAGTGCTTAATGCTCATGTTGGAAGGATCCACAATCACAAATGTAGTTATAGGGCAACATTCTAAATCACCAGTCACTTTTGACCAGGTCCATGTGAAAGTTTGGTTTATATTAAAGTGGTTCATTTGCCACCAGGGTGTTGGTGGATGTGAATTGAAATGCCCGAGTTCCCTCTTCGGAGTTGTAAAAATGTGATTGTTTTAGGTCGATTCAGAATTGCCAGTATGTGTCGTCACAGAATTTCTCATGTTATCGGTCAGAAACATGACTTGCATAGGCTTACTGTAAATTTGACCCAATACAATGAGGCTTATACACTTTGGAAACCCAGCTGGAGTATGAGTTTTGTGACTAAAGCCTGAAAATGGATGTTTGTCACTCAGCTTTGGGCAAATCTACCTCTGAGCTGAGCTGAGCTAGTAATTAACTTTGAATTAACCCCCAAGCCTTTGAAATCTTCCTATGCCCCAAACTGAAGCCATTTGCAATCTGGGCAGCAGTATCTTTGTTTGTGTGGAAGGAAAACAATTTCATACAAATGGGGTGATGTTAAAATAAGAAGGCTTTTGAAAATCATAGACTTGTAGAAAATTAGGGTTGGAAGAGACCTCAGGAGGTCATCTAGTCCCAACCCCCTTGCTCAAAGCACAACCAGCCCCAAGTAAATCATTCCATCCAAGGCTTTGTCTAGTGTGTCTTAGAAACCTCCAAGGATAGAGATTCCACCACCTCTCTGAATAATATGTTCCAGTGTTTTACTACCCTCCTAGTGAGAGAGTTTTTCCTAATATCTAACCTAAACTTCCCTTGCTGCAACTTGAAACCATTGCTTCTTGGAATGAAAAGCATAGGAATGATCTATTTTATCTAAATTGCCCATAATCAGCCATTAACATGCCTGATTTATGACCTTTATTGTGTCCCTTGCAAGTGTTAGATGTGTATCAATCCTGTGATTATTCAGTTCTTAACAGTGCTATTAAATTAATATAAATATGCCTGGGTTATGGTCTAACTGGAGTTAGATTCATAGATTCATAGATTAAGGGACGGAAGGGACCTAGTAGATCTTCTAGCCCGACCCCCCGCCAGGGCGGGAGAACAACAAAAAACCCCAAAAAGAGAAACGGGACTCAAATGAGTCCAGCCAGGTAGGCATCCAGCCTCTTCTTAAAGACCCCCAGGGTAGGGGCCAGCACCACTTCCCTTGGAAGTTGGTTCCAGCTCCTAGCCGCCCTAACTGTGAAGTAGTTTTTGCGGATGTCCAATCTATACCTCCTCTCCATCAACTTGTGCCCATTACTCCTTGTTATGCCAGCGGGCGCTAGGGGAAACAGCGTCTCCCCCAAACCCTTCTGGTCCCCCCTAGTGAGTTTATAGACGGTCACCAGGTCCCCCCTCAGCCTTCTCTTGTGGAGGCTGAATAGGTTCAGGTCCCGCAGTCTCTCACTGTAGGGTCTGCCCTGTTGTCCCCGGATCATGCGGGTGGCCCTCCTCTGGACCCTCTCCATGTTGTCCACATCCCTCTTGAAATGGGGCGCACAGAACTGGACACAATACTCCAGCTGTGGCCTGACCAGTGTCGCGTAGAGGGGGAGGATCACCTCCTTGGCTCTACTCGAGATGCACCTGTGGATGCACGACAAGGTCCGGTTAGCCCTGCCAACCATGACCTCGCATTGTCGGCCCATGTTCATCTTGGAGTCAATAATGACTCCAAGATCTCTTTCTGCCTCCGTGCTCTCGAGTAGGGAGTTCCCCATTGTGTAAGTGTGCTGCTGGTTCCTACTGCCCAAGTGCAGCACCCTGCACTTGTCCGTATTAAAACGCATCCTGTTCCTGTTAGCCCACCCCTGTAACCTATCCAGATCCCTCTGCAATCTCTCCCTCCCTGCTAGCGTGCTCACCTCCCCCCAGATTTTGGTGTCATCAGCGAATTTAAACAGGTTACTTTCCACCCCATCATCCAGATCGCTGATGAAGAAATTGAACAGCGCAGGCCCCAGGACCGAGCCCTGGGGGACTCTGCTACCCACCTCCCCCCAGGTTGAATATGACCCATCCACCACTACCCTCTGAGATGTTATGGTTTAATTGGCTTCCTTGCTTATATGTAGCATCTTTATTAATGCGCATATGGGAATATTTTCTGATTTTGAAGATGCACATCTTAAATGCCTGTTTCTGTATATAAAAATGCATCTGCTCCACCCAAAATGGATTTGTGCTCACTACTTTTAACTTTTGTAATAGGAAATGCTAAACTGCTTTTCCAGTTGCCAATCTTGTGTGTTCCGTTGCATATAATATGCATGCAGGTTAATTTATGAAACTTAGCCTTTAATATATACATGATCTGGCCAGGTTGCAGTTGCTGTGGGAACTCGAACTTTGAACTTTGTGTAAATTTCTAGTAATAATATTGCCTTTAATGCAGTTTTTCTGTTCTTTTATTTTAAGTGCGCTGGAGTGAAAAATGGAAAGTGATTTAATGTTGAAATAAACATGCCTTTGGGCTGGAAACAAGAAGTTTCAGTTAAAAGACTAATTTTCCTGGGAAGCTGTAAGTGCCTGAAAAAGAGGTTTAGGAACAAGGGTGGCAAACACATCTGTCCCCTGCTGCAGCCAGTGCTAGTCCAGCAGCACTGCCCTGTGCTGCCCTTGTGATGCAGGCAGTAGGTCTGTCTGAAATTTCATCGGTCATTTCATTTTGACACTTTCGATTCATTTAGAGGTTGAAACAGTAAAATCAAAACAAAACAAAGAGCTTCAAAACAGCCTCAAAACAAAATGAGGCTAGTCGAAACGTTTTGAAAGTCCAAAAGTTTTGACCATAGCGTTGGGGATGGGAAGTCAGTCCAGCTGGGCTGATTTCCTATCCCCAGCGGCAAGATCTGGCCAGGGCCAGGGAGTCAGCCCAGTTGGGCTGACTTCCCATTCCCAGCTCTAGATCGGGTGGGGGGCAGGGAGTCAGCCTGGCTGGGCTGACTCCCTGCCCCCTCCCTGATCTAGTGAAATGTTGAAACAGCCTCACTGTTTTGATGAAGCAAAATGGAACAGCTGTTTCGAATTGAAATGAAATTCGAAATGGAACACTGTTCTGTTGAAACCTTGAAACTCAAGGCAAAACAGAACGGTGCCATTTCGCACAGCCCCAGTAGGCAGCATGCCAGCCCCACTCTGGGGCTGGTGCTCCAGTATGTGCACAGGATGGACCTGGCACCACAAGCACTGCCCATGGCTCAGAAAACCAGCTTGGGATGCACACTGCATGTAGACCCTGCAGACTAACCCTGAGCAACAGCTCTGGGGCTGGGTAGGATTGGGCCCCCTGCCTCCCAATCATGGCAGAGCCAGCATGCAGGGATGTCAGGCAGGGCAGAATATGCCCCATGCCAGCCCCTGTGCTGGGGCAGTGCCCACAGTGCTGGCCATCTAACCTGTGCACCACAGGCAGCACGAGCCTGGGAGCAGGGCCAGGACATGGTATAATGGTACATGGGCTGGACCTGATGCTGTGTGTGCTACTGCAGTGTGGGGTGGGATGTGTACTGCATGCAGCACCCCACCAGACAGCCCTACACACCCATTCCAGCAATCACAGGCAACCTGGGTCCCAATCCTGACCAGCCCAGAAGCCAATGCACAGGGCTGGGCTGGCATGGGGCTGCAAGCAGCTTGTGCTTTGGACTTGAGCCCTTCTGCCTTGAGCAGTGCCTGTGGCACCAGATCCAACCCATGGCCCAGACCGGCTCTGCATGCCACATGGGGTTGGTCCAAGACCCACAGGCCAGATCATGTGGTTCCGTGGGCTGGATTCAGCCCACAAATGCTATGTATGACACCCCTGGTTTATAATGAAAGTGTTGTCTTAACCGCAATTGTATGTCAGTAATTCTAACTACATAATAACTATTATAACTACTGCAAAGCTGTAATAAAAAAGCAGCCGTACATCATATAAATGTCCTAAAACGATAGGACTAAAAATATTGGATGTTTTGGTGTTGGTTTTGACATGGAAAGGAAAAATAAGTGTGGTTTTGATGGGAAAACAGTTTGGTACAAGAAAGAAATTTTATTTATTGTCTTATTTCTTTATTTCTAGAATACACCAGTGGGAACACCAATTTTCATAGTGAATGCCACAGATCCAGACCAGGGAGCAGGAGGAAGTGTGCTTTATTCCTTTCAGCCTCCATCCAACTTCTTTGCTATTGACAGTGCCCGCGGCATTGTGACAGTAATACGAGGGTTGGATTATGAAGTCACTCAGGCCTATCAACTCCAGGTCAATGCAACGGTGAGTCTTAGGACATTGGTTTCATCTAATTTTTTGCTTAACAAACAAGGATCTTGATTTGCAGTAGAAAGGATCTATTATTTCCCTATTTTACCTCCCCTTTTCCTGCTTCCTGTTGGAATGCAGATTTCGCATAGATTATGAGTTTAACATTCTAATTTAAAATACTTTAGATGGCAACACTTGTTAATGGAACTTCTGAATGTTCAGGTAGACATAGGCAGATTAAATTTAAGAAAAAATATACATCAGGGTAATGGCTTGAAGTATGGGCTAAACAGCCAAGTGCCTCCAGCTGTTTAAATTTGTCCATGACACTAAAACAAACTTCCTTTTACCTGCCTTGTAACAAAGATGAATACAAGGCAGTGGGATCCAAACCAGCCAGTTCCTGTTCTAAAGGCATATGTTCCTTTGCATAGGCTTTTCATTGTATTTAAGGTCAGAGCCATTGCATTATCTGGGCTACTGGTTTTCAACCTGTGGTCCATGGATACCTGGGGGTCTGCAGACTGTCTAAGGGGTCTGTGAAAGATGACTATGATCAATCAAAAGTATGTGAATACCCACACTTACAATTCAAAGGAGTCCACACCTCCATTTGAAATTTCCAAAGGGGTCTGCACCTCCATTCAAAATTTGTAGAGGTCTGCAAACGAAAAAGTGTTGAAAACCACTACCTAGGCCATGTCTATATAGTAAAGGTATGTTTAGTGTAGAAGTGTTTTCTAGCATGCTGTGCCACTCTGCCTCCACCTGTAGTCTCCCTTTCCAACTGTAGCCAATTCTGATGCTTCAGAAAAAGGCAACCCCTCTTGCAAGCACATCTGGTCAATTATGCATCAGGGGGAAAAAGATCCTTCCTGACCCCTGCAGGCAACAGGCTAAGGCTGTGGAGCATATGATTAAATTAAAGTCATTGTTTTAATGCAGAACAGCAAATGTCATGAGCATGTTGAGGGCAATACAGACCTTCTGTTCCCTTCATGAAGGGAGGGAATGAACAGGGTTATTCACATCCATCTTCAAAACCAGAGGGAACTATGGCTGTTCAGCCCAACCTTTGCATGCAAAACTGTAGAATTTCTCCCAAAAGCTGCACTAAAGCATTGCTTTTAGAAATGTAGCTAATTTTGTTGCAAAAAGTCCAAGCAACGGTGCATCCATTGCCTCCCAGATAAGCTGTTCCATTGTTTAATTACCTATACTGCTAACAAACTGCATTTTATTTCAGGGTCGAATTACCTACCCTCATGTCCTTCCCAACCCTTTGAATCATGTTACATCTTTGTCATCTAGAATGAAAAGCCACACACTGGTGGACATCTTTTCTGTGTGTATGTACCCATCCACAGTGATCAAGATGTTGTTCAACTTTCTCTTTGATATGCAAAACGTTGCTTTTCTTAAATCTATTGTAAACACTCATTGTACACTTGGTCTCCCCACCCTTCAGTTATTTTTATGACCCTTCTTTGATCTCTCTCCAGCATTTGCATATTTCTTGGAATATGGACACCAGAACTGACACATTATCCTAGGAACAGTCTTACCAATGCTGTGTACAGAGGGAAGACCACTTCCTTCCTTCAATTTGAAAATATCCCCTTGTATTTCCAAAGATAGGGTTAGGGGTTGGGTTTTTTATTTGGGGAGGAGGACAGGGTTTACTACAGCATTGCATTGAAAGTTTGTCTTAAGGTGATTATCACTGAGATCTCAAAAGTTTGGTGAGGGGGTGAAAAACCCATTGGCCAAGTTTGCAGATGACACCAAGATACGGGGTTGTGCGGGCACACCCACAGCTAGGCTGCAGATACAGGCAGATCTAGACAAGCTGGCATGTTGGGCAGAATGGAACCAGATGAGGTTCAATGTAGAGAAATGCAAAGTGCTGCATCTGGGAAGCAAGGAACCCCCATCATACATACAGGCTGGGCAACACTAATTTGGTCAGCACTACAAATGAAAGGAATCTGGGGGTAACAATAGACCCCAGCATGAATATGAGCTGGCAATGCAATGCTGTAACTACTAGGGCCAAGAAAACTCTGGCATGCATCAATCAATGCATCTTCAGTAAAACCAAAGACATGATTCTCCTGCTTTACTCAACATTGGTATGGCCACAGCTGGAGAATTCAGTTCTGGGTGCCGCACTTCAACAAGGACATGCTAAAGCTCGAGAGGGTCCAGAGAAGGGCCACCCACATGATGAGAGATTTGCATGGCAAGTCGTATGAGGCGAGGCTCAGGGATCTCGGACTCTTCAGCCTAAAGAAAAGAGAGCTGAGAGGGGACATGGTTGTGGCTTACTGCTATGTCAGAGGCATACCTCAGGGGCTTGGTAAACAACTGTACACCAAGGTGCCCTGGGGGAAAACTAGAAACAACGGCCACAAGCTATTGGAATATAGTTTCAGGCTGAACATTAGGAAAAACTTCTTCACAACTAGGGTGTCCAGACTATGGAACAAGCGCCCCCAAGAGGTGGTGCAATCACCTACCCTAGAGGTCTTCAAGAGAAGACTGAATGGTCACCTGGCTAGGGTCACCTGACCCCAGATGTCTTTCCTGCTCATGCATGGGGCTGGACCCGATGATCTTTCGGGGTCCCTTTCAGCCCTATGATTCTATGTATGGGTGCATACAGATATTGGGGTGGTTAGATTGAGTTAAAAATAGCTGCACAATCAAACTTAATTTGTCTATATGTGGACCTTACACCTAGATCCCTAGTTAGGTCAATGTAAGTACTGAACTCTACAGACTGAAGGTTAGATCAGTTAAAAATGGCCAACCTGATCTAACTTTAGTTCACCTTCAGAGGTTCACTAAGTTAAATCAGGCATGGTTAGACCAGGGGTGTGCAAAATATGGCCCACAGGCCAAATCCAAAGGATTGTATCTGTCCTGTGGTATGTCCCTCAACCCCACCCAGCCCAGGTGCAGGGGGAAGCCTAGGCTGTGGCACATGCAACTAGTCCTGCTGTCCCTGAGCATGCAGCAGAACTGGGGCAGCATGGTGGGATTCCAGTTCCATGGACAGCAATCCAGAGAGAGAGTATTGCAACCAGCTTGACCATAAAAGTACTTTATTGCCAGGTATATGAACTTATGATGATACCAGTGGTAATATCCATACAAGAGAAACAAAACAGTTATGATATTACATAGTTTCAGTTAGGTATTTGGGGAAGTCTAGCTCAAGTTTGATTAGCAAAAGTCAGATTTAGACAGCTGTGCCTGGAGTAAGAGAATAAAAGTCAGGTTCCTAGGATCAGAGAGAGAGAGTGTGATCAGCAAAAAGTTTAGTTTAGAAAGCTGTTCCTGGGGTAAAAAAGCAAAAGTCAGGTTTAGAAAGCTGTGCCTGGAGCAAAAGAGTAAAAGACAGGTTCCTGGAGTCAGAGAGAGAGGGGGAGAGAGAGAGAGAGTTGGGATCTCACCACTCAGTGAAGCTTGAATCAGTTAAGGTTCCCGGGTGTTTGTTGTAGCTTGCAGACAGGCAGAGTTCTGAGCATGATCAATGGAGAGATTCCAGGCAGAAAAGGAGTGGAACTGGTGCAGCTTTTGGATCCAAGCACCAGGACAGAAACTTGAGCTTAGGTAGGGGTTTTTGTAGAGAACTAAAAATGGCTCAAGGGAAAACACTAGGTTTGTTTATGGGTAAACAATGGCTCATATGCTGGATAATAGAAACTGATCACTCCTGACTATGGGTGGCATTACTCTGAGGGAGCTTACAATACAGACGGGCAGACTCAGTCTTTTGGGTACCAATAAAGGAGTCATTTCTAGTATTGATCTGATAACTGCTAAGCTGAGCGTGTGTAGATGTGGGTTGATTAGCATTTGGAGCAGGGTTCCCCCATCATACAGTGCTCCCCTGCTTCTCTGGTCCCAGAATTCAGTGCAGTCCTTGCCTTGGAATCTTTGTTCTCCATCCTAAATGATAATACATTTCATAGATTTTGTAGACATTAGGGCTGGAAGGGACCTCGAAGATCATCAAGTCCAGCCCCCTGCCCCAGGAGCAGGAAGTCAGCTAGGGACAAAGGTCCCCAGCAAGATAAGCATCCAAGTGTTTCTTGAATAAGTCCAGAGTAGCTGCCTGCACCACATCTGGAAGGAGTCTGTTCCAGGTCCTAGAGGCTCAGACAGTAAAGACATTTTTTCTGTCTTGTAGGAGTTTATGACCGTTGGTCTTTGTTTTTTCTTGGGGCGCTCTGGTGAACAGACGTTCTCCTAGATCTTGATGAACACCCTTATGTATTTATAGGCAGCCACCAGGTCCCCCCTGAGCCTGCACTTTTCCAGACTGAAGAGTCCCATGGCTCTCAGCCTCTCTTCATAAGGCCTGTTCTCTTGTCCTTTGATCATGTGCATGCCTCTTGTCTGGACTCTTCAAGCTTCTCGACATCCTTGAATTACAGAGCCCAGAATTCGATGCAGTACTCTAGCTGCAGCCTCACCAAGGCTGTGTACAGCGAGAGGATGACATCCTGCGATTTACTTGAGAAGCATCTATAGATGCAACCCAGGGTTTTGTTTGCTTTGCCAGCTGCAACATCATATTGGTGGCTCATGTTCATTTTGTGGTCAACAATGACCCCCAAGTCTCTTTCAGCAGCGGTGCTAGCAAGCATAGCATGGCCAAACCTATAAGTATGCTGCAGGGTTTTCTTCCCCCAAGGTGGAGTACCTTGCATTTCTCAGTATTGAACCTCATCAGGTTTATATCCACCCACTTACTAAGCTGATCCAAGTCAGCCTGGATCACTAGCCTGTCCTCAGGTGTGAATGCTATGCCCCAAAGTTTAGTTTAGCGAACTTAGCCAGTGTGCTTCTGACACCAATGTCCACGTCGTTGATAAAGATGTTGAAGAGAATTAGTTCAAGGACAGAGCCTTGGGGGATGCCACTGGTTACAGAGTGCCATAATGACTCACTGCCATTGACCACTACTCTCTGGGTCTGACCTCAGAGCCAGTTTCCCAGCC